CTTTATTTCTTTTTTATTATTCTTGTTTTTTTTTAAAAAAAAATGACATAAACTCAACCAAGTAACTTCCCTAGGCGAAGGTCCAAATACTTTGATGGAGTGGATTTTTTGAATATTGGTTTCATATGTTAGAATTGGGAACTACAATAAAATGTAGAGAGATGAGGAATGAGGAATGAGAGACGACGATCTTACTTAGATAAATTCTAACTAACCAAGAATAAACCTTAAGGGAGTGTATTTACAATCTATATTTGGATTAAGACCAAACTCGCCCTATACAAAAATATAATGACAATGTAGGAATACTAGGACTATTGATATACATACAAATTCATACAAAATTATATACTCATTATAACTCCCCCTCAAATAGATGCGAGTATGTGTGAAGCATCGGCTTGTTCATGAGAAAATCGTCTCATTTTCAAGTTATAGATTTGGTGAAAATATTGGCGTTTTGTACAGTAGAAGAAACATAAAGAAAAGATAACGTACCATTAAGATGGTGGTCATCAATATGATAACAATCCACATTAATATGCTATGTTCGATCATGGAAGGCCGGATTAGATGCAATCTAGATTGCAGTTTGGCTATATACATATAAAAGTGTACAGAGATGAGTACACAGGAATGAGAGAAGACGATCTTCGATAAAAAAATTTATACATTATTATATGCATATTATTACCAAATTGCTAATATTAAGGAACCAAAATGGTTTGGAATTATTGGGTCAGGATGATTGTAAGGAATTAAAGCGGTAGCAAACTATAAATTTGAAATCACTCCTTGTAAAGAACCATAGAAGTCGCTCAGACTGCTTTGATTCCTTGCAAAGAAGGAAGGATGGAACATAGCTGTCCCGAATCATGACTCTCAAACTACATGGGATTCTCGTGAGTGGTCAGAAACAAATAGTTCCGAACTAGGGTGTTTTATAAAAAAAATAAAAAGAAAAAGAAAAAAAAGAAGAACACGATGGCAAAATGTAAAATATGTATGATACGTTTTTAAATACCACAAATTTTAAGAGATGTCAGCATAAATTCCCTTCATTGAAAAGCTCCCATACAATCCGAGTTGCCACGTTGTGGTTTTCAATCCTGTTGACACCACCCACTGACACCTTCAAAAAAGCTAATTTCTTAATCTATAGGAAAAAATGGGTAGGGCCTGTCTTCCTAATTGAATTATCCAAAAATGAAAAAATGATTGCAGGTGGTTACATCTATTTCAAAGATGGATTTTAAATCTAAAATTTCAGAGGTCAATTATTTCATCCACGACAATCATGAACATGAAAAAGTAAATAAAAGATTGGATTTAAAGTTGTATATTTTGAATTCTTTTCTTTTGCTCCGTTCATTTTACTTGTTCACAGGTCATAGAGTGCACAATTTTTTAAAGCACGCGGTTTGTATGGAGCCTAGGCTCTAAACAATCAAAGTAAATCACATCTTCAAATAATACGGAGAAATGTGGTCTCAATACTGGAAATTTTTGTGAAGGCCTTGAAATATATTTTCATCTCTAATTATAAAATTTAGAGTTTCAAAAATATTGTAGATAGAGCAAATCTACGAGAACTTGAAAATCATGAAAATTGACGGTCCAAAATGTGGTACAAGATACACTATTTCCAAAACTTGAAATCCATTTTTTCTCATGTTCACACATCTTGATGCTGAGATGATGAATTTGAGGACATGTGGGCATCAAAACAACCTCTTTTAGAGAATTTTTGAAATGGACTCTAATTTGATTGTTTAGAGCCTCGGCTCTATATAAACTTTTTCTTTTTTAAACTGCAAGAAAATTGATCCACAGTGGAATTGTAATTCCAGTGATTTAAAATTCATCTTAATCCAATGCTCATGAAATCCTAAAGGTGAAGTCACAAGTCAGTAGACTTTTCCTCTTGAAAATCGAGATCATGTGACATATACAAGTGGAACTCTCAAATTGCATTTACATCCGTGGAAACATTTAGAATGTCAAATTTTGATCCCAAAAGCTGATATGAGGCTCTCATTTCGATCTGATTAAAAAAAAAGAAAAAATAAAAAAAAAGGGAGTTTGATCACATCAAAGTGATCCCTTCCAACTCACTAATTAGCCGTCTCTTCTCCAATATAAAAGCATTTTGTATTCCACTTTGTTTTTTAAAAAAATCAGACTGAAAGCCTTATAACAATATTATCACAATCGTTTCGGTTCAGAGATCTCTTAGTTTTGGACAGGAAAAAGAAGCACTTCAGTTCTTCATAATATTTTGGGGAGGTCTTTGGGTATAATTTTAAAACAAAAAAGTACTGAAAAAAACCAAAATATATATATAATGTGGCATGTTTGTAAAACTCTTTTAATATAAAGGCGTATCTTAGAGAATTACAAATATTATGTTTTATGATTTTCAAAATTTTGTGCGTATATAGGTCATCGTCATCATTCTCATAGCGTTTTCCCAGCTATTGAGGGTCGACTAAACGAATCATGATATGTTGTTCTATTCTATCAAGGGTCAAACCCTCAGTGAAGTCATAAGTCCCCATATCTTTTCTCATACATCCAACCATGTCTTTTTGGGCTTACCCCTTGTTTTTTTTAGCCTTCCACTTGAACTAACTCACATCTCCTAAACAGGTGCTGTATTGGATAAGTGGTACATGGCCAACCTTTCTTATTGCACGCTCTCATCTTATCGGCTATTGGTGTAACACCTATATTTTTTAATTTATTTGTTTCAAAATTTATCCCTTCTTGTCTTGCCACTCATCCATCTCAACATCCTGATCTCAACTGCACCCAACATTCCACCCCATAAAAGTAAAGCTGGTATCACATCTTCTTATAGAACTTGTGTTTCAGCTTCATTGGTATGCAACAGTCACATAAAACTCCGGTTGTCCATCTCTCCACTTTGCCCATCTGTTCTAATTCTATGTGTGACATCTTCCTCAATCATTCATCAATGACTACTTTTGTTATACCTGAATCTATCTAATGAAAAACAGAAAGAAGTACCTGCTATGGTAAAATTATTTTATAGAATGGTTCAAACCTAGTTTGAGACCCAATAAAAATTTTCCATTCTGATATTGCACGAGAGTATCTAAACCATAGATACTAAAAACATGGTATGGAAACTAAAAACATCATGTTCCTATTCACTACAATAGAATGGTGTAGCATAATGAAAAATTAGACAACTTTGTAGAAGTGGTGAGAGAACTCTTAATAGGAATGAAAGTTCCTAGGACATATTGGGCTCAATAGAATGCCTACACATTTTTTTATGTTTCTTATCCTTTTCAAACTTCTCCACCATACACGTCCTTTGTTTTTTCTTGCACCAAAATTTTTTGGTCGTATCTGCTTTGTATGTATATAGGGTATAGGGAGCAATTCGCTTTCTCTTCAGTTTAGGACTTGTACCCCAAGACTGCCATTGTCTAGGGGGAATAGAAGAGATTGCTTTAGAAGGACAAAGGCTTATTTAGTAACAATTTGCTTAAAATTAGTTTAATAGGAAGACAAAACTGCATTAATGCTTGATTGATTATTCACTCTACCCAGTACTAGTTTTTGTTTGGGAAAATTATGTCCGTATCATTTTATTTTACCGTTATTACGTGATGGTCTTAAAATATGCGATATTTATGCGAAGGTCTTTTTTTTTTTTTCAAGTTTGCCCCCTTTCCAATGTTAGAAATATCAAACCATCTTAAATCTTCAAAAAATGAAGTCTAAATGCGGTTCGATATTAGAAACATTGGACCACCTTAAACTTTCAAAAAATGAGATATAAATGCGGTCTGATGTTCGAAACATCGGATCGCATTAAACCTTCAAAAAATGAGGTCTAAATGTTGTCCGATGTTAAAACAATCGGATTATCTTAAACCTTCAAACGATGAGGTCTAATATTGGACCGGGGCCAAATTTGTCAACAAATAAAAAATTTCGTGGGGCCCATCCTTCCGAGTAATAACGGCCTAATTTGGGGCCTTTTCAGGTTAAAAAAATTCCACATTTTCGTTAGCTTCTACAAGTGAGATATTTTTTAGCATGTCTTTATCAGCTGTAGGTCCTTGTACATGTGACATGCACTAGATGTTGCCATGTGAGTGTACTTCTTCCCCATATGGTGGATTAATTTTTCAAGTACGATTGTCGAATTCTAGGGGAGAGCAAGTGTCACTCATCCTTGGAAATATGATCCTACTTTGTAGATTTATGATTCTCAAATATGTCTATGCTATTCAGGGACAACATGTGATATAAGAGTCTTGTGTTCTGATAGTTTGAAGTTACAAGTGTTATTCTTTGGAAATGTATATGGTTCTATTAATTATCTTGGGATTAAGAAGGTCACAATACCTTTTTGACGTTGGATGTGAAATAAGGCAGTTAAAGATGTTTAATTGATCAAGCTCCAAATTAAAAAAAAAAAAAAAGCTCAAAATTTTTTCTCCCTGTCTTGTTTTAATCTTTATACCATTGTACTTGTTCCCATGATATAATAATATTCATTATTCTTGCAAAAAAAAATTAAAATTTTGTGATACATCCCAAACTATAAATTTCACATCTGATTGGTTAGGGATGATTCTTAGGTGGAGGATCTTTTCAATCTTAAATTCCTCATTTTCACTAGTGTAGCTCTCTAATACTTTGTTCGAGCTTTTGTCTAACAAGAGTTAGGTGCGTAAGAGTACTTACTCATTGAAAAGGTATTGCATTTTGCTACGGTTACCTTCTTCAATGAGAAGGTATTGCATTTTGCTACGGCTATATAGAAAATTTGTTCTCTCTCAACTTCTCACATTTATAATTGCTCTCTCTCAACTTCTCACATTTATAAAAGTCGGTGATCACATATTGAAGGTTACAATTTTCAACCCAATAAGTGGCGTCAATTAATATGGATGCTAGGTAGTTTCTATGATTCATGACTACACTTTTTTTAGGAGAAAAAAAGCCTAATGACACGCCTCTCTCTCTCTCTCTCTCCTAAGTTGCAAAACCAGAGCAGAACCCTTTGGTTAGCCCTGATACCATTAAACCATGTCCACCATTTCCACAATGCACAAACCGTAACTTATATTTCCCCTTTTCTTAATTCACTATTTCCATTAAATCATAACATTTATCGTTTTTACTGAAAAATTATGTCCATACTGTAAATAAAATAGGAAATTATACAGAGGTCCCACCTTGCACACTTGTTTTTTCTTTGAGAACCTTCATATATTTTTATAGATGATTTGGATAAAATCTTTTTATCTTTTTCTGACAAGCCACTTATTTCTATAATTTTTTTTGCAATGTTGCCAATAATTCACTTGAAGAGGGGTCATTCTTCATCAACAAATGTCATTCTTGATCAACAAATTCTTCATCACACAGATATTCATTTCTGTACCTTCTGACCACTCTAAATTCTGTAAAATTTATTCTTTGAAAACTCATCTTTAAATTGTCTTCCTACTCACTATATCCTAATAATTTATTAAAAAAATGCATGAATTATTTATTAGGATAAAATGGTTGTCTTACGAACAGCAGGTCATCAAGAACTTCTTTCCTTATAAGCCAGGCTATAATTTCTGATTCTAAGGAACTCCATTTCAAAATATTTACATGCTTATTCTCCCAGATGAAGTTATAAAAACATCTATAGAAGGGTAATTACTAATATCTGATGAAGCTGGTCCAAGAAACATATCTCTGATTTTCTGGCAAAATCTGTGTCCTTTTGTTGGAGTACGTACAGGATAAGTATTCCAGTCTCTGTTATTAATCATCTTTATTATTTTAATTTATCTTGTTAATGTATCCGGAAGGCTATGATCTTTGCCCGGTATTCTTTCAATTAAAAAAATGTATTGTGACAATAAAAATTTCCACTAGGCATATCTCTGTAATTTTGGACTAGATATTAAATTTTTTTTTAATAAGCTAGCCAAATTGACTCTGTCCTCAGAATAAACTCTTCTCCAATTAGATAAGGATGAAAATTTTCTAATCCCCTTATTGCAGCCAAAATTTCTTTATCATCAGGCCAATAATTGAATTAATACTTTTTTAATTGCCTACTGGTATAAACACAATTTTTTATTATTTTCTTCTTTTTTCAATAGTACAGCTACCCAAGTTTCTGAAGAAGCATCTGCACTAAGAATAAAAAAGACTTTTATATGCAGGACCTAAAGGAGGAAGATTTTGGATTAAGGACTTTAATTTAATTACCTCCTCTGTAGCCTTCCCATTTCATGTGAGTGGCTCCTTCTTCATGCAATCTTTAATATTTTTGGTTTTTTCTGATAATACTGGGATAAAATGTCGAATGTAATTTACACAACCAAGAAATCTCTGGTATTATAGCTTGTCCTGGAGTTGATAAGGGAATTTATTGATTTTCTGAATAGCATGAGGCTGCATGATAATTTTTCCTTCTGATAGCTGAACTTCAAGGAAATCAATTGTATTTACAACAACTTGAAATTTATCTTTTGAAGCAAATAAACCAATGCCATGATCTAGCACTAACTGAGCAAATACTTTGAGAGGTTGTATATGCTCCTGCACACCGTGAGAAAAACCAAGAAAATCATTTATATAGTTAGCAGTAAATTTCATGTATGATTTGAAGATGGAATCCATCCTCAATTGAACATGTGAGGAAACATTTTTAGGCCAAATGGCATGACCAGCTATTCAAATAAACCTTAAAGGGTAGAGAAAGTTGTCTTGTGGATGTCTTCTTCTCTTATCTTGATATGATGATACCCTGATTTACAGTTAAATTTTGAAAATATTTTCTTTTCTGCTACACTCTGCATCAACTCTTTTTTATTGGGTAAATTCCATTTTATTTCCACAGTAACATTATTAAGAGCAATGTAATTAATCACCATTATGGTTTTTCCTACTTTTTCTTCACTATGATTTCTCACAATAAAAGCTGCACACGAATAATTTGATTGTGATGGCCTGTTTAAACCCTTTTCTACTAGCTCTTTAATCTAATTTTTTAGCTCGTGTTCATCTTCTTTATATATGCAAATAGGCTTACTCTGAACTGGTATATTATGAAGATTGGGTATATAAGCCACATGCAAATCTTTGTTCCATTTTTCTATCAACACAACATTTCTGTAATTTTTCGATGACATCCTTAATAGTAATTATCTGATATCCAACTTCCAAAGACAATCATCTTATCTGTTTAACTAGCTCATGTTTTTCATGGGCTTCTTCCAATTTGAGTTGTCTTTCTATAAATTTTGAAATTGCTTTTCTGAATTTTGTTTGGTCTCATTTTTAATGATGGAGATATTCTTTGAATAATCTGTTTTTCTTCTTCTGTAGAAAATAGTACCATAATCTCTGAAATAGTATAAGGACTTATCTCATCCAGAGTTACAAGGGACATTTAAAGCGAATTATGTTAATTTTCTTCGTCCCTTCATTGTTTCAACAAATTCACCATAAGGATATTTTACCCATTTTTTCCACATTTATTTCGTGCAAAAATTAATATTAGCTCTAGCATCTATAAATAATTCAACTTTTTTCCATTTTTGATATCCATCGACAACAATTTTTGTTGAAACTAATAAAACATTTTGGGCATGAGCTAATTTCTTTTGAAAGAATATTTTCAATTGGTTTATTAAATATATGCCAGAAATATCCTTTATAATCAGTCCTGAAGCTTTGATTTATTTATTTAATTTTTAATTCCTCATCAGAGAATATTGCTGATTCACTATCAGAGGAAGAGGGAGAAGAAGATCTCATACCTTCATTAATTACTAGAAAAGGGTAAGAAAAGTTATCACATTTCATTTTATTTTATTTTTTCAATTTTGCCCATCAGTCTGATGGTCCAAACATTGGACTGTGACTTATTAATTTCTTTATAGTGTAAGGATCAGCCCAAGGTCTACATCCTAGGACCACTTGGCTTGCATGAACATTGCGAATCCTCTTATTTAACCCCCACTGCATGAATAGAGAATATCATTTTACTTCCGAACGTTGGGTTTTGACTGCTCTTTTTCATGTAAAAATGTCCGAGTTAATCGACATTTGAGATTGATTTTCTCTACTTTATGTCATTTCTCTATGTTTATTGTTCTTGTTCTTTTTCATGCAAATAGAGTCCGGGTTTTCATTATTAGCTGTTGGCTTTCTTCTCTTTTTTGTTGTGAGTTCTTTTGCAAAAAATGTACCTCTGTAAGGTTTTTGAGTAGGGCTTTCTAATGTTGATTCATGGAGGTGGTAATAGGATTTTATTATTTATTTATTTTTGCTTTCTACGTTATTAGATGGGTTCTGTATGATGTTTTTCTATATTGATCTCTCAAAAAAAATTAAAAGATTCTTATTTTCCGGTGTTATACAAATAGATTATCCCATACAAGGATTAACATAATCAGGGTTCATCCAAAAACTATCTTAACAGTCATCATCGTCTCATCACTGTCAATGTCTTTTTCCAAGTAATTAGGTTGGCTATATGAAATCTAGTCTGTCATTCCGCTCCATTACGAGTCATACTTTTAGTGAAGCCATGAGTCTCACTACTTCCAACCAAAAAAAAAAAAACTATCCTAACAATTATGTCCCAATAACCAAGCATAACAAGATTATGCATAATCAGATATAATCCAGGGTTGCTGTAATGGGAGCCAAAGAGCCATTAGTGCCCGATGCTTGTGCGCAAACCATCACCTACACACAAAATTTCATGTTCATCTAGTTTGTAGAAAAGCTAAAAATAAAATATTCTAAGCCATTATATCTAGATCAAGTGGCATATAGAAAGCTTTCTCATAAAAGAATACCCCTACTTTTAAAATAAAAAACATCGGCACCGTCTCTATGGGAAACAAGAAGTTATCCCATGAATAGTGACCTCATAAATTTTTCAATTTTTTTTGAAGTACTTGCTAGAAACGTTTATTAAATTGCCGTATAGGTAATTTAAAAAAGGGGTTGTATACTATAATATTTATCTATACAAGAGAGCCACAACCACCTATAGATGAAGCTGTCAAACATGAAATTGGATGGGTCATCATCATCATAGCCTTTTCCTAACATGAAATTAGACGGGTAAAGGTGTTTATTTTTTCCCACAAAGTTTGAGAGAAATTTTTATGATACTTTGCGCTTAATCGATATTATAATCCTAATATTTGATTGCTAATGATGATTGTGACTTCATGTAAAAATAAAACTCTAATTTCTCTTTCTAGAAATAGCTTGTTCTGAGTTTAAGAGGAGGTGTTCATATTCTCGAAATTGTTGGAAAATGCAGAGTGGAATTGCTTATCAAATTGAAATTAAAACCCATCTAAAATAATAGAAGAACCTTGCTTCAAATCAAAGGGGTGGGGTGGTCACATTCTTGATCTACCAAATACAACAATTACAAATTTTAACATGTGCCCACGATTTAGAAGAAGTGTTTAACGACGAGGTCTAAGCGTGTTAATTGATTGCACTTGTTCACATAGTCTTTCTTCATAATCTATATTAGTGATGGATTTCGACTCAGAATTTCACTAGTCTGTATTATCGACCATCATGATTTTGATAAATGAAAACAAAAAATAAGGTAAAAAGAAAAACTTTAAAGCATTGAAAATAGTGTAGTTTGAATATTGTCCTCATCATTCATTTAACATCTTCAAAGATCAACTGTGCAACTTGAAGAATTCTCCAATTAGGCACATTGGAAGTACACAAATCCAATGTTGCATAATCAATTGTGATTACTTGTAATGGTTAGAAATCAGGCTTGAGCTTGAGTGGTTAACAGTAGTTGTAATGCTATATCTTAAGTTCGATTTCTATCACTGAACTATTAAAAAAAAAAAAATTCTCTTGCCAGGAATAAGACCCTTTGCCTCTAATCTGCAAGCTTTAGTTTAAGGAAAATTATTTCATGCGGGCTAGACAGCATTTTTATATATGCAGTCCAGAAGTATAAAGCATCC